CGTGGGGGCCAAAGACTCGCCCCCAATAGTCAGTGATGGAGTCAACTGACTATATCGGGATGCCGGGTATGTGGGTTGGATCCAACAGAGTAGCCTTAGGGAGCCCAGTTGGCATGTTCCATGGAAGGTTTACCTTGTTTTCTGTTTCTGTTTTACTTATTTTTACTGTTACCAAAACAGCAAAGATGATCACATATTGGTTTAATGAACTGTATTTATTTTTATATTCACCAGTGTGTGGCAGTAGATGTTAGGCATTGGTTGCACAAGTGGTGAAATTCAAATTTTTTTACTACCGGTTCTGTGGGTGTGACTTGGTGGACGTAGCTTGGTGAAGGTGGCAGGGAAAGGATACTGCAAAATCTCCATTCCCACCCCACTCTGGGGCCAGCCAGAGGTGGTATTTGCCGATTCCCCAAACTACTCAAAATTTCCACTACTGGTTTTCCAGAACCTATTAGAACCTGCTGAATAGCATCCTTGGGTTACATCTACATTCGGTATCCCTAGGAATTAAAGTACATGGAAGCATCTCAAAGCAAATCTTTGCAAATACAAATCTCACGTGGGAGTCTAATTAGTTGCCTTCAAATTAGTTGAGTCTGCCTACTTTGTATATGTAATTTGGCTGTAATTCCAACTCTAATGGGAAATACTGTATTAGGGATACTATGGAAACTATAAAGAATTTTTGTATTTTAAAATCTGCAGTATTCTTAGAAGATTCTTTAAAGAACTTTCTCCTTTTTTTCCTTCTTTCAGGGGCTATTGGAGGCTCATCTGTGCCTCCTGAAGTCATGAAGAAGATTATCAAAGAAATGAATATGCGGGACATAGTAGTGAGTCATTTTTTATTCTTGAATTGTGTAGTTTCCTTTTGTGTATATTGTAGATGAGCGCAGGGTGTAGGGCTTGACTTCACAAAAAGCTTTGCACTGTTGTTGCTGCATGTCAAGATGAAGAGATAACATGGTTTGCTTTGACAAGGTCACATTCCCTGCCTCTAGGGATAACTGCAAAAGCCAGAAGAAGCTTCATTTGTGCTCATACAGTGTATGCAGAGAACTCCTTGAAGTTTTGCAAGTTAAGACAGAAGGCTTCTTTGCTTTGTTCTTGGCAGCCGGGAGGGGGCAGCATTGCTTCATAAAGGATTTTGGGAAGAAGGAAAGTATTTGGCTGGTGCTTTCATTGAAGCAAAGCATCCCTTTAAAGACCTACACAACTTTCCCACCATCATTCTGCATAAATGTTTTTCATTAGCTTTTTCAACTCCTGTTAAATATAACCGACGGTGCAACTAGACTGTGAACAGAAGATGTAGCAGGATTCTAGAGGAAAGAAGATATCTGTGTAAATAGCTACAGGGACCTAGATGAGCAAGCACCAAGAGAAGGATTCGTTTGCATTAACACATCTTGATATTGGAATGATTTGAAACTTAGTTTGAGCACTATGAGTTTGCTCCCACTTTCTCTCAACTAAGGCTAGGACTGCTCATAACTTGGTAAGTGCTGATCACAACCCCAATCAAGTTGCTTCCTTTGGATTTTTCCCTTCTTTGATAATGATCATAGGCTTTTTAGAATCTATGGGCTTATGGGATAGCATGGGGCTGCGTTTGGAAAAAAGTCCTCTAATTTCTCTCTGTCTCTCCTTTTGGCAAGAAAGAGTTGCTCCTACTTTCTCTAGTAGAAGCCCATTTCTACAATTGTATTGAAAGTAGAGGTACCAAGCCTTGAGAAAATAGTGGGAAGTGGTGAGATGTTGTTCTTCTGAGGGCAATTGTATAAGGAAGAAAAGAGACTTTGCTAGAATCTTTGGTTAAACTGGTGTGTAACCAGCCAGTGTATTGGAATGTATCTTTTCTTGCTTGTACATATTAAGCCTTCCCTCTTTATTTATTTATTTATTTGTTTGTTTAAATTTCTATACCGCCCTTCTCCAATGTAGGACTCAGGGCGGTGAACAGCCAAAGTAAAAACAAGACATACATACAAAACATACAAAATCTAAAAACTGTTTAAAATAATTAAATAATTTTGGCCGTAATTAAAACATTCCAATTTAAAATCCGTTTAAAATTTGAAATTTGAAATTTATCACTAAGGATATGGATTGTAATACATATTTTTTTCTCTCAGATGAACAATGAGGCTCTTTGGACTAGACAATCATTAGAGACTCTAAATTTCAGCTTTCTGACAACCAGATATTTTTCTCTGTCTACTAAATATGAGAGACAAATATAGAGAGAGATTTTGCTTCAAAGTATTTATACTTCTCTATAGTTTTATAAAATTGGGAAGTGCTATCAATACGGGGATCAGGAATATAGTATTCTTTGTTGTCAGAATTAGCAGATAATTTTTCTTTATACAACATGAAAACTCGATCATTTTGTCTTTGCAGCAGAAGCTTTATACAGAAATTGTACATAAGAAAATATATAATTTGCTTTCTACATAGGAGTAAGAGGATACAATCCCCTTGGGTGTCATTTACATTCAGTAATGAATAAATATATATTTTTATGAAACTTCAGGGTTACAATGCAATTAAACTGAAGTGATAGTATTGCAAAATGCATGATGATAAATCACAGTCATCTTGCCAACTATAACAATATTTCTGAGATAAACAAATAGTCAAGGCGTCATTTTTTAACGTGGCATGTCTCTGCTCTCTTCCATTCCATTTGTCAGTTTTCCTATTCTAATAAGGAAAAGTCTTCTCTGCATCAGCCTGTTAAGATACTCTTTATAAATGGGCTGAAAACCTTATGTGGGTACAGAAAGGGTGCTGGCTAATATATCAGATTTTGCATTGGCCCAGTTATTTTCTAAATCCGTAGCTAACTAAAGAATACAGGAGGAGTGAGTGAAGGTCAAGTTGTCTTGAAAGACAGCCTATTATATCATTTGTGATTGTTTTTAAATTAAAGAGTTCTTATTCCCAGGTTGTTGTTTTTTAATTGGGGGGGGAGAATCAGTTTTCGCTGTATACTGGAATTAAATTGAAATTAAATCTAATTTCATATAATAGGTCTTTCCCATCATAAGAATGAGTAGCATTAGAAACCTAATTCCATTTTTAGGTTTTCGATTCCATAAGATACCCTGATTCTCTTTTATTCAGTTCAGTTCTTCTATTGTAAATTGCCAACTCCCTCTTTTCTTATGACTAGATCACACATATTTTCTCTTTAAAAAATACAGGGCCATCATTTAACTTCTTCAAGTGGTGAAATAGTCTATTCAATGAGCTGCACCTTAAGAATAATACAGCATGAGTTACTTAAGTATATCAGGTCAAAACCTTCTCATATATCTATTTTTAGTTCTTGTAACATAGAGGATGGATTTGAAATACAAGCCTAATTTTGTTAGCCATTTAGTAATGTATAACTACTTTGCTAAATACACAGCAAATCCAAACATGTAAGGCAGTACCAGTAGTGGGTTTCAATTTAGTTTGCTACAGATTTGCTTGCGGGCGCGCAGGTGCTTGCCCGCACACGCAGAAGCTACTGCACATGCGCAGAGATGTCCGGGCAGATGGGTGGAGCCTCCCGTCACCACTGCTACCAGTTCGCCGGATCCGGGGCGAACCGGTAGCAACCCACCACTGGGCAGTACCTAGCATTACTAATTAAAATGCATTTATTCTTATTTTCCCTATCAGTTTTTTTAATAACTTGAAGATTCAAGATTGTCCTAGGATTGTCCTCTTAATTTGCTTCCTATGAAATGGCTCCTGGTAGAGAGGCATTGTACTGCTGCTCCATATATTTAAAAGTTTGGGTTTCAAAAATATAGAAGTCATAATGAGAAAACACAGAAGGGTTACAAATGGAAGACAACAAAAAGATAATGATACCATTTCTTAGATTAACTAAGAATTAGATAAATAATTCATCTGGTATCCAAATACCTAGGGACACTGTAGATCATATTCTAGAAATGAAGTGAGCTGTGACAAGATCACTACAAAGATCAGAGTCACTATCCTCATAGTCTCAGGCAAATCCTGTTTAAAATTGGTTTGTGGGAAGGGAAAAGGCTATGCTTTTAAAGTCTGTGTTTTAGCTACTAAGCAAACTGAGAATTCCCTAATGTCTTCTTTTCTTACCCTTTCATCCTCAAAATACAATGCCTGCCTTTCCTGAGCTTAGAGACCTAACTTTTGAGATATATTTTCCCCATAGTATAAGATGCTTCTGCAAATAACTTATACACGGCCATCTGGCTTCCATTTATCTCATTTAGCACACTCTCATCGCTTTTTCCATGTTGACAATCTCTAGAAATATAATAAAATAAACCAATACAATTCTTTCAGTTAGAATACTAACGTGTTCTAATATGTAAGGAGACTTTTTATGTTTTCTGTTCATTTCTTAGCTGTTGAAAGGCAAATCTTGGAGATCAAATGGCTGGCTGAATGACAATTTTATAGGCAAAGATGACTATTTTATAGGCAAAATCTCATTTGGCTTGTTGTAGCTCTGTCATGCATAGGTTTATGTTTCTAAAAAGTATCATTTAAAATAATATTTATAATATGGGAGGCAGGGGCGGGGAGACTGTATGGTAAAGTCCACCTGAAATTTGTCTGCTGTAGGATATAGATATGTTTGAGATTTATTGTTTCTAATAGAAAGGAGTTTTTTAGGATGAAGGACTTGGAAGACATCAGTACTTTTCTGGTTGATTGGTTGATCGAAGTGAAGAGTTACCTGGAGTTACTTTTCTGGATCCTGTTCATGGGAAAAAGAGGTCTTCTAAGCAAGAGAAACAGCAATGATGATAGTTTAGCACCTTCAATTGATTCAAGGGAGTTTACATCCTTTGTCTAATCTTTAACCTTTCTAAATAATCCAGGGAAATAATTCATAAATTCTGTAGATGAAGAAAAATTGAGGCTGAAGAAAGTTCCTTGCTTCATGATAGGAGCATGTTTTGCCTTCAATCTTTCACTGATTATGGTATTCTATGCTCACAACTCCTATACTTAAGTAAAATTACATTGGCATTCGAAACAGGGTGAGATATTGAAATGGTCTGTGAGAATGTTTTTGAGAGATAGGAGGGAGAGGAGGAGATTAGGTAACAATCAGATAAGAGACAGTTTAGCCCACAGAAGAAATGAGGCAGGGGAAATATCCCAGAAGGGACCCTCCCTCTTGAACTGTAAAGATGGGGGGGGGAGAGAAATATACCTTTAGATTTGCAAGATTTGTACTTTAACCTTACAATAAGATAGTGTTAGTCATAGTTGGCACTTCTTGTCTAGACCACCTCTAAGGGTTAACAGATATTTAACTGAAAATTCTTGAAAAACTGGATTGCCTGCTTAATGGCGATTTCCTTTTTTGGATCTCTTAGAGGGAAGTTTGCAGCTACGGAGCGCAGCAGTGTCTCGAATCTGCTGTCCTCGAGTCTGAGGAGGTGATGCACAGACTGCATCTGGGCGAGTACGAGTAGATCCCAGCCATCTAAAGAAAAAGAAAAATCCTCAATCACCCAAAGAGAATATGGCTAAGCAGATTTTCAGTTGACCCTTCGTGTCCTTTATTAATTCATTAAGTACCATCATTCCCATCTCCCCTCCCCAACATACTTTTGAGGAATTTAGCAAGATGGGTGTGATCGGTACTCTTACCTGCGCAAAGGTGCTAACTGACAAGAACAATGCCAAGGGTTATTGGACAGGGAGAGTGTCTCAAGACGGGTGAATGGAAAGCTCCTAGGAAGACTGGAAATTTTGTTGTGCTCTATATGAACATTCTTCAGTGCAGTTGTCCCAACAAATGCTTTATCTGAAAACTGAAGTAGAGGAGCAGGTAGTAATAATGGAAAATAAATTAAAATCATGCTTATCCTCTAGTTCTAGTTAAACAATCAATTTTGGGTAATGATCCAAAATTTTAGAAATTAAAGAGAGGGAAGGCAAAACCATAGCCCATTGTCCAGTGGTCATTCTTCCTGACTTCTGTCTTGCTTGGTATTCTGTTCAAATGTTGTAAAAATATTTTGTAACATTTTAGGGGAAGGGAATCAGGAGAAGTAGTAGAATGGAACACACTTTCCACCTTCTGCAACTTCACACTCCTTGATGCAAATCTACCTCATAGGATATACTATAAATACATAAAAAATGTCATATATGCCAAGGAACAATGGTAGGTCCTGATACTTACTTGCCTAACATGTGAAATGGTCCACATTTCCATTCTTTTGATAATAAGGACCCTTAGAAAATAAAACACCATAATATTGAATTGTATGAGGTGTTTTCTACTGTGGTAAAAAAAAAATAAGCATGAATGGGAATGTGTTGAAAAGTTAATACTTGACGGTTTATTAAATACTTTACTTTGGTAGTGTGCCCTTTACTGTTTTAAAGGAAAGGTGTTCTTCAACTTCTCCCATTTCTTTTTAGACATTGCTTCATCCTAAACCAGCAAAAAGGTTTTTTGGCTTCTAGAACTGAAATTCTTTCTGGCATCCTGTTGCCATATATATAGAGAGGAATATTTGTGGAGACTCAAAAGGGTTGCAGACTTGGTCAGGATCCAGTGAACTCCCAATGGAAAGTTACACTTGGCGTTCATGTAGAAGCAGCAAGGCAAATTTCCAGATGCTCAGATTCCTCTTCTCGTCTCTTGATCCTCACTGGTTATTCATTAGTGCTGAAGAATCAAAATGTTTACATCCTAAAGTCTTGGCTTCAAAATACCCACTTGATGTTTTTCCAAGGAAATGAAATATACACAAAAGTTCTTCCAGAAGAGATTTTTTAAAAATCTTGTAATCTTGCTTCCTATATGGAAATTTATCAAGGATTAGGAGGCTCTAAGCTTCATAATCTTCCATGGGTGTCCCTTGTGTTTTCCTACTGCTCCTTCAGTCCTTTTTTTATCTTTTTACGAAAAGTCCGATCAGGGAGGAAAGAGAGAATAATTGCACTTTTGATCAAGAAACATCTTGATGAAACAGATTTCCAGAAAATCCTCTAAGTTCCTGTCCCATTTTTCAAAGCACACATCTTTTAAATATCTGGATATAAGAGAGCATTTCTCTCATTCCAGCGTTTTAATAATAAAATTTTCATCTCTTCCAATCTGAAAGCATTGTCAAAATCACATTATTCAAAATATTGGTTTGCTGTAACAGTTGAATAATGGATATCAAGGAATTTCCAACTGTACCTATTTCCTGAAATTTATCTGTGAACCATCACTGAATGAATCCCAGCAGATCCTATTTGAGCTGTTGGTAGTATTTTTTTTCATGCCAGATGTGAGAGTAGATAGGTAACCTTTTCAGCCAATTGAAGAACATTTTATCTTTTAAGCAGTTATATTTTAATCTGTAAATTTTCATTTTTGTATTTCAGAGGGAAAAATACTGTAATTCTGGCTCCTTTGTATATGTAGGAGATCTCAAACCTTCAAACCTTTGCTTACTATTTTTGGTAGTATCTTGTTAATTCTTACAGCTATCACCTGTCTTCCATGAAGTTGCCTCACTTGGCATCTATCCTTCACTTCAAACTGTGGAAGAGAGAGGGATCTGGGAACCTATGCTACCTTTCTGGCAGTTAAGAAGCTCAACATACAAAATTTGAAAATAAAGCTTCTATAAAGCTGCTTCCTGGTGTTAGAGCATAGATGTATATCTATTCAGAATATTCACTCTTTTCTTGGGAGATAGCCCAATCACATAATAAAAGCAAGATTTATTTTTAAAAGAAAAGGTAATATGTAACCCTTTTTATTTATTTTTTTAATATTAAAATTCATAAACTTAATATTGTAGAAGATGTATTATAGAGCTGCCTAAATTATGAAATAGCAGTTTGGTTAAAACAAGAAAAAACATTAAATATATAGAAAAAATATAAGATGGAATTAATTTGTCACAGATCTCTCAGAAACTCCAGAAATATAGTGAGAAAAGAATCCTAATGGTTATTAGAGTGCAGTACTGGAGGCTACTTCTGCTGCCTGCCAGCTGCCTGTAATTTGGGAGTTCAAATATCACCAGGCTCAAGGTTGACTCAGCCTTCCATCCTTCCGAGGTGGGTAAAATGAGGACCCAGATTGTTGGGGGCAATAGGCTGACCTCTGGCTTAGAGAGGGCTGTAAAACACTGTGAAGCAGTATATAAGTCTAAGTGCTATTGCTATAAGATATAAGCTTACAGTATAGATAAAAGATAAGAGATAAATCCAATTTTCTAATTTTTTCAGACAAGAACTTAGGAGGATGACACCTGATTTAGTTCTACATGCAAAACAAATTAAACCTAGTGCAGATTCTTGGTAGATCATTTTTATTCTTTGCTACAGAAATAGAAACTAAGGAATAGTTTTGTGTAGTGGTTAAGACATCTGGGGCTGGAAACCAGAAGGCTGAGTTCTAGCCCCACCTTGGACATGAAGCCAGCTGGATCTTGAGCTAGTCACTCTCTCAGATCTAGGAAGGAGGCAGTGGCAAACCACTTCTGAAAAACCTAGTCAAGAAAACTGCAGGCACTTGTATGTAGAGGACTATCAATGTGTATTTATGTTGTGTATGCACTGTCCTGGAACTGAATTCTTTGTGTTATGTATCATAAATGTCGCCAAGAGAAGGTTCCAAAGTTTTACCTTTCCATAATCACAATTGGTCATTTTTACCTAATTGTTAAACTATGATTGCTATAATCCAGGGTGAAATCCAGCAGGTTCTGACAGGTTCTGGAGAACCGGTAGCGGAAATTTTGAGTAATTGGGAGAACCGGCAGATACCACCTCTGGCTGGTCCCAGAATGGGGTGGGAATGGGATTTTACAATATCCTTCCTCTGGAGTGGGGTGGGAATGGAAATTTTGCAGTATCCTTCCCCTTGCCACACCCACCAAGCCACACCATGCCCAAGCCACGCCCACAGAACTGGTAGTAAAAAAAGTTGGATTTCACCACTGCTATAATTATTTGTTTGGGAAAAAGCTACTTGAAACCATGATTTAAGGTGAGAACAACCAATGTCCTTTTACTTGGATTATTGGTTTAGACTACTGTATATTGGATAGCTTCACAAATCTGTTTTGACAATATTCTACTTCATTAAAACAAAATACACCAAAAATGTGTGGAATACGATAGTAAATCCCTTTAATGGGCATCTTGGTAGAATGGATTAATCATTTTGTACAAGATCTTAACCATATTTGCTAAAATCTGTCAAAATTAATCTATTGGCAGTAGAATTAATAATTAAAGAAAACTTTCTAGCTTGACTATTGTCTTGGGGCTAATTCGGACTAATTTACTCTGCTGTAGAATTCTTTCCATGTTATGCATAAAACATACCACTTAAAGCCCTTAATAATTGTTTTAAGTGATTACTCTGTTCTTTTTCATTAGGTTTGTTATCCACTTGTAAAATGCTGTCATGTTAAGGAAAATTCAGCTAGCTACTGACTATATGCACTGAGAACAGATACTTAGTGATCAAAAATTTGCTGTCAGAAATAGGTACTCCTTTGTGGAGTTTAACTTAAAGCTACCAGTTTGTCCCGGAAAACTATATATAATTGCTAAACCAAAGTAGAATAAGAGTGCAAGTTTGAAGATTAATCTTGCAGGAAAATCTATGAGGAAGGAGTTGTTTCTTATGTTACTATAAGAGCATGGATATTGTTTTGTTTGTTTATATACCATTTTTATTATTTTTACAAATAACTTAAGGCAATGAACATACTCAACATACCTTCCTCCTATTTTCCCCACAACAACAACCCTGTGAGGTGACTTGAGCTGGTTTTCATAGCCAAGGCAGAACCTGAACTCATGGTCTCTTACTTTCTAGCCCAGTGCCTTAACTACTAGATCAAACTGGCTTTTTATCCTACTATAGTGGCATGGAAGGTACCATATCGTAGACTTAGAGACTTCCAACATACTTAGAGGTTTCTAGGATAATGTGGCCATATGTGGCTAGTACTAAAAAAAAATTCAGAAGTTTTGGGTGCTCCATTACTGGAATTTTTTAATAAGAGATGGGATAGCCATTTGTCCAGAATGATATAGCATCTCCTGCTTGAGTAGGGGGTTGGAGTAGAAGACCTCCAAGGTCCCTTCCAATTCTGGCATTCTGTATTCTGTAACTACTGTAGAATAAGATTGGATGGAGGAAATAATAATAAAATGTCTTTACAGGTATTTGTTGAAATCACCATTTTGGGAAATGAAACAATAAAATACCTGTGAATTGCAACTCCATATTGCAACTCAGTGGTCATAATGTCTGTAAGATAACTTTTGCTTCCCCATGGGCCTGTTTTTGTGTCTCATTCCTTTAAAACAAAGTGGGAAATATCAAAAGTGCTTATTTATTTATCTATCTATCTATCTATCTATCTATCTATCTATCTATCTATCTATTGGTTCGATTTATATGCCACCCTTTTCCAGGGACTCAGGGCGGCTTACAATGAGTCAAGCAATAGCCTTCATACTTTTGTATATACTTGCATAGTATATCCCATTCCCCCCCCCTAAGCGGTGTTCTTTTTTATACAAACTCAGCTTATTGCCCCCACAATCTGGGTCCTCATTTTACCTACCTCGAAAGGATGGAAGGTTGAGTCAACCTTGAGCCTGGTTAGATTTGAACTTGCAGTAATTGCAGGCAGCTGATGTTATTTAACAGTGCTTTAGTCTGCTGCGCCACCAAGGCTCCTTATGATATTGTGGACAGTTCCTATGTGGATTTCTTTGGTGTGCCTTTTTAAAAAAGCTGAAAATCTATGGGGTTGTTAAATAGCAAACTTGTTGTTGGTATACAATGAAGATCAAAATGTGATCAATGATTCTGTATTGCAAGAAGTCATTAGTACAGTGCACATTTCTTCGTTCTTGAGTAACTTTTTGTTTAGAATAATACTTCTGCTTCATTTTATTTTATTTTATTGTGCACAGTGCCTTTTTCCACAGAAGTCTTTTGGAAATCTTTATTCCTTCATATATATCTGTTATAAGATACCTTTTTATGATTATACTCGGATTCTTATGAATTCTATTCCAAAATTCCCACACAGTTTTCCAAAATGCACAGGATTCTGAGCAAGTTTTTAAGATTTTGTAAATGAAGAAAGGGCTATGCTATCATCCAAAAATCTCTACATTATTTTGGGTGTGAATGAATTCTTCTTCCCACCCAAGTTCCCTCCTCTTTCTAGCTACTAGCTTTAACATCTATCATCCTACCGTATGTCTCTACTTTATTTTGCTTCTTAGCGTTTTAATTTACTAAGCTTTTCGTTCTGCCTTCACTTTGTGTTCCTTGAGCTTCTGGGGGATGATTGTTTTGCTGGTTTAATGCACTTGGACAATTTCATCATGGCACTAAAGTCATTGGAAATAGTACTTCTTGTTCACCTGGAAGGCTTCCATCCTGCCGCTTCTCTTTAATGTGGTTTCTTGTTCCATCAGGGACATGGTATATCCGACATGAGGTCATTCTGTTTCCTATTTACAACCAGATTCTCATATATCATGCTTCTGCATGAGGGACATGATTCATCCGTTGAGAAGAAGGGAAGTATTTTGTTGCTTACCTGAATATCCCACTAACTTTCCAGAGAGAACAGGACTTCTTTGTGAAGTGCCGTGAGAGTGTCCTTTGAGAGATGATCAATAAACAAATCCTTCTTAATAAAATATAAGATTGGGGAGGAGGAGAAAAAAAGAAGTACATCCTTGTGTGTGCTCAGTATATCTGTCTCCAGTGTTCTCCAGGTTGTACTATCTTCCACCTCTTTTTGAAAGTCATTTTACCAACAAGTGATCAACCCAGTATTTTAAGAACGGAGTCTAATTCTCTTCACAAACTTTCATTTGTCTCTTTTGTTCCTTCCTTCCTTCCTTCCTTCCTTCCTTCCTTCCTTCCTTCCTTCTTACCTTCCTTCCTTCCTTCCTTCCCTCCCTCCCTCCCTCCCTCCTTTTCTCTTTCAATACAAGAATGTGTGTGTATTGTAATGTATGTGTGTATGTATCATATACACTTTTATGCTGATGGAAATTATATATTGAACTAAAACAAACCATAATGTTTAGTTCTGGTTTAGTATGTTTTGTGAGTTTATTCACAGTAGTTTGTAAAAAGTGATTTAAGGCTTTGTATGTTGGGTCAAACTAGCCAATTGTGGCTTAGGTGAAAACCCAATAGACACTTGGGGCTCATCCTCATGTTACTCTAACTGCAGCATGAGCCAAATTCTGGTGGTGTTACCTTCATCTTTTGAAGGCAAGTGTAATAGGCTTGTGGTCAATTTAAACTGGGAAAGAGCTGGGTTCTGTCAGCTGGGCAATACTAGTTATATATACATACACACACATAATACATATACACACATGGATTCTCTTCATATTCTCTACATTTATTTATATATGTATACATATACATGCATGTGTATACATATACATATGTTCTTATATGAAGTATAAGAGAGAAAACAAGGAGTAAATGGGACAGCATTGGGCAGCAAAAAGTTATCAGGTTCTATTTCTAGATACTAGATTTATCACTTGCTAGTAAAATTTAAGCTCATGAGGACATTGTAGGAAAGTTATCAGGCATATTCATGCACCAATTCTAGGGGTGCGAGGAAGAACCTTAAATAATAAATCATTATTAAACTATCTCATCTAAGACTGTAATAAAATATTTGCTTATTACAGTTAAGCAAATCATATGTAGCATGAAATGTAAACTCGTTCCATTTCCCTCCCCCTCTCTCTCCTTCCATCCCTCCTCCCCCCCCCCGTAATTGTTTTCTGAGGGTATAATCATTTCCTTTATTTAGGTCAGCAGTATGCCAGCTACTATATAAAACAAAACTGGTGGATGAATGCTCACAAACAATATTTCACAGATGAGATAAAGGCAGTAAGGAAAAGAGCAGCTGAAATTGTGTGTTTGCTTGGTTTTTTTTCCCGCCTAGATTAGTTTAATTCCTCAGAATCTAAATACGGAGAACCACTTTTATTGAATAAAAATCCATGTAATCCGGCAGAACCTGGCTGCCAATTTGCTAATTATAAGCACTTTTCTCTGACAGAGACTAATGGTCTTGTATATAGCTCCTTAAATAGACAACAACTAATACCTGTGTAACTCTAGCTTTTTGTTCTCGAAAAACATTTCTTTTACTTTCCATCGCCTTTGTACTGTTATCTAATTACTGTTTGCAGATATGCTGGCTGGAGAATTTTGGGAGTTGATGTCCATAACATCTTAAAATGGCCAAGGTTGAGAAACACTGATTTAAGTTCTTCTATCCTGCTTTCATCTTTCATCTTTAAAACCAGCAGAGACTGTGCTATTGAAAAGTGATGATCCCTTAATCTTTCAACTCTGATATTACAATACCAAGGGTGAATGGAAAGGAAAGAAACAGGGGTTTTTTTTTTCCTCCTTTTCCTCAGTTCCATTCTTCTGGATCTCCTGACCATAAGTGTGACCAGGCATAATCATCCAATTTGGTCCCATTCTCTTTAGCCATCAGAAGATGTCCCCAGTTTCTGAAGACAAGTAAATAATTATTTCAAGGTAGACACAGACTTGTCTGTGGGGGGGAGGAAATGTGCAATTCCTTTCTTTGTAGTTTAACTTCTATTTTGAAAGACTCCCCCCTTTTGATTGAGAGCTATATATTTTGCACCAGTCATAGATCCATTTTTAGGACCCTATATAACCTAAATGTAAAGTTTTAATACTCCTGCAATGCTTTTCCTAATTGTAATATTCTACAATTCTCCTCCCCCCACAATCCCCAAATTGGATTATAAGGAAAAATTCAGAATAATGATAGTAGTATGCACTCCTGTCAGAGAAAGTAAAAAGTTGTGCTTGAGAGTTTCCCTTCGAGGCATGGACCAAATCTGTCCCTGCCTGTATAGAAATCACCCTCTATTTCTTGGTTATGCTGACAAATGACAGGATTTGACAAATGGACAAATTGATACATTATAAATTCTAGAAAGAAGGAAAAAGAAGGAAGAAAGCTCTGAGAAATGCTTACCTTTTCTAATCCCATGTTGTCCAAGCTGAGAGTCTCCATGTACCGTCCAAAAGATTGGAAGGCTAAATCTGGAATGGACTTTATTGGGTTGTTTGAGAGCTTCAGGTCTTCCACCACCCTTAATTTGCTCATGGCAGCCACAGGGTAGCTGCTTAGCTGGTTCTTATCCAAGTGGAATATGGCTAGGTTTTCCACATCTTCCAAGGCCCCAGGTTGGATGGAGGAGATTGAGTTATTAGAGAGATAGAACCAGCGAAGGTTCTTAGTACCATGGAAGGCTCCTGATCTCAGCTCTCGGAGCCTGTTGTTACCTAGCTGCAGGATGAAAAGATTAATCAGTGGAGAGAGGAGCCCCTTGGGCAGATCAGATATCTTGTTATGATCTAGGTAGAGGTAAGTAAGTTCTGTCAGGTCATCAAAGGCTCCCATCTTTATGGTACTGATGTCATTATTTGACAAGTAAAGGTAGACCAGTTGCTTCAGGCCGCGGAAAGCTCCACTGGAGATTTCTTTGATGTGGGAATTTTGGAGGTGAAGAGAGACAAGATTTTTCATCTCTCTGAAACCGTTGGTTGGCAGCACAGGGAAATTGTTTCTCTGCAGATTGAGAAGCCGGGTTTGCTCAGCTACCTTGGGAATCCTTCTCAATCCAACATTGTCACAAATGACATGGTGGAGGTCTCCTCCATGACAGTGACAATTCTGAGGACAGGCCTGAAGAACAGGAAGAAAGCATGTAAGCAAGGCGATGAATTTGAGCAAGACGTTTGATGGGTCCATGCCTACAGAGCTGTGGTAGACATGCAGGAGGAGGGAGAAGGTTGAATGAAAGAGAAAGTAATGCTGCTGCATGTTGAACACAGTCCTATTTATAATGCTATTAAAAAGCAAAATCCTTCCCACTAACCACAGCAGTAGCCAGATGCTGACTTGGAAGTAACTGTTTTCAAGAACCTGGTGTGACTTTAACCCTTTGACATCAAGCAGAGAGAGAAAGGATGCCTGATTTTCTCTTTTCATGGCTTTAGTTTTCTTTTCAAGCAAATAATCACAAAAAAACCCAATGTACTCTATATCACTTGTAGGAATTTCATTTTCCTTTAGCTATGTGCACAGAAAATAAGGGCCGTCCCCAGGTCCTTCATTCTTTAGTTATTGTGAGATTTCTTGTTCAGTTTAAAGTGACTGATATAAGAACCATGCCTTCTAGAGGAAAACAGTCTGAATTCCCTCACCATGCAAAGCACATTGAGGGGAAAATGTCATAATACGTTTCATCTTACAAATGTATTGGCTTCTATGAGTACAATTCCCCATGGCTTACATAAAGACTAATGTTCTGCATCCTTTGTGAACTATATGTCCCCTTTTGGATTTTTATTGTTATTTTTATTTTTTGCTGATTAGAGTAACTTTGTTAATATTTATTTCTATCCTGCCTTTATTATTTTTACAAATAACTCAAGGCAGCAAACATATCACTCCTTCCTCCTTCTATTTTCTCCACAACAATAATCCTGTGGGGTGAGTTGGGTTGAGAGAAAGTGACTGGCTCAAGTCACAATCATTCGACTGGCTTTTACGGCTAAGGCCAGACTGGAACTCACCATCTTCCACTTTCTGGCCTGCCTGTTGCCTTAACCCGTTAGTCCAAAGTGGCTCTCTATTGACTACTTAATATTGGCTACTAAAATGTATTTTTTCAGTAGAATAGCTTCAACCTGCAGAATAAGAGTGATTTTCCTTTCCTATTGCCCCTATATACTTTAACCTTTGGTCTGCAGAGTTGGAAGATTCTCCTGAACAAGCTGTAGGGAAGGGGGTAGACCAGAAAGCTTGTAGGAAACAGTAAGAGAAAGAAAAACCCTGTATCCTAAACATTAGTTCATTTTCTTCATATTGTATGCAAGCCATTCCAATACAATTGCTTCATCAAATTTCCAGATGCACTTAGTTTTCTTTTCTTATATGATAGTTTTATTAAGAATTTTGAATAATCTCACCCATCTCTTTAGAATTAAATCATGATATCCTTTTTCCTATATTCACCTTTCTTAGTTTCTCATATATTTCCTTTTCCCTTTTCCTTTTTTAAAACTTTTCTTTAAAAGGAAAGGTTTTTTAAAGGGTTAGAATAGTTCATCATCAAAATGTTTACAATAGAAAGTTGGGAGGCCATGTGGTCCAGGCACTTTCCCTATTTTAATCTTTTTTATGGCCTGACAGCCTTCCCTTATTGTTAGGGGTCCATTTATCTTCTCTTTTTGTTTATCCAATTACTTTGGTAAATGTTGCTTCTTTAAATATTCCTCCCACTTCTGCTGGGGAATGTCTTCTTTGAATCAGTTTGCATAATATTGATGAAATATTCTTCGAATACTTGCATTATCTGATACCATGATTTTTCCAATTTGTAATTTTAATATCATTTTTCCCCTTACTTTTTGTAATTTATAATCTAGCCATTTTCCCAGTTTATTTGCTAACTCAAAATTCTTCTCTTTCCAGCCCGAAATAGATCTATCTTAGTCTCCTTAGTCTCCCAATGGGCAGCAGGGAGCTTGCTGGCTGCTGGAAACAAAGCCTAGAAACTAGTGGATTGGGATTTCACTGAATTAGGGCTGCAGAAAAATCTTGGTTTACATAGGAAGAACCTGGCTAAAGAAAAATACACATAAAGACCTACAAAAAGAAAACATATATACATATATTCATATGTATATGAAGTCTTAATCTGTTCACCGCCCTGAGTCCTTCGGGAGAAGGGCGGTATAGAAATTCAAATAAATAAATAAATAAATAAATAAATAAATAAATAAATAAATAAAGGGTCTCAGATTGCAAAGATAGAAACTTTCAGTTATATTACTAGAGGACTGCAATATTTCTTTAGAAATTAATCCATACTGTTTATTTTAATTTTGAGAAAAAAGTAAAATGCAGATAACATGATCTACCACTTCACTCCAAACAAATTACACTTTAAAAAGTGTGTTATTTTTATTTAAAATTTATAGCAATAAAGAGGATACTTCAGAAAACAATTGTTAAATAAGCAGTTGATGAAAATTAAATGATGTCATAGAACTTAAGCATTAGAAACAGTAAAATACAGGAATAGGAAATGGTGTGATTTTCTGAAGATACTAAATATTGTCTTTAATAAACTTTCAGAAAGCATGGCCATCAGAGAACATGGCTCAGAACACCTAGACATAGTTTGTCTATCCTGCCATCATGTAATATGTAAAAGTCTGTTCTACTCAGTAGAACAGTAAGTCAGTAATTCATATTATCTCTTAGCAGTTGACTTCGTAGAGCATTTTCAACAAGCTAAGTTCCCAATTTGAATTCTCTGTCCCTCATTCTGTAATAAAAATTAGTCTCCTCTTTATAGTGGGAATTCAAGAATTAGTATAACAATATTTTTGTAAAGTGCTGTGAAATTTGCTTAGTGTTCCCGTGTAACAGAGTTTTGGAAACCAGTAGACGGGAATGTAACTTCATTCTAACTTGTAAAAGGAACATAGATTGATAAAACACTACAGCTGTCTCTCAGGAGAACTCCTGAACTTTGGTAGTAATCAGTAATGGGTTCCACTTACCTTCGCTACTGGTTTGAAACTTTGAGTGTGCACATGCGCACGCTTGCTTCGCTTGTGTGTGGCGCTTCTGCGCATGCCAGAACCTTCTGTACATGCGCAGAGCGTCCGTGATGATGTCCGGGTGGGTGGGCCGCCACCACTACCAGTTCGCCCAAACTGGGGCGAACTGGTAGAAATCCACCACTGATTTGTTAATTTGTAAGGAGTCTTAATTCCATTATTTTCCCTCCCTTTCTCTTTTAATCCATTTTACTTCTTTTGCTTTATGATTTTAGAGTTTCTTGTCATTTTTTTCATATGTGTCCAGAATAGTAAAGGCTCCCCTGCCTGCGCAGGAGGTTGAGCAGGAAGACCCCCAAAGTCCCTTCCAACTCTGTTATTCTGTATTCTGCCTACTGATTAGTATTACTAATTCTCTCCTATTGATTGACCTTAGCTTGCTCCCTGCGCCAAGAGGAGAGAAGTATGATTTCCTTATTTACTTATCAATTTTGTATGTTGCCCATCTTGCCCAAGACGACTTATATTTCCTTATTGCCATAGAAGTATGACTTCCTTATTTCCATTTATTTGATATATTTGATATAAAAGCAAAGAATGGGGCATAGTATGTTTTGGCTAATGTTTCCCCCATATTTTTTCCCATATTAAAAGGCATAAATTTATTTATTTATTTATTGGTTCGATTTATATGCCACCCTTCTCCGGAGACTCAGGGTAGCTTACAATGCGTTAAGCAATAGCCTTCATACTTTTGTATATACTTGCTTAGTAGGGCTTTCGCCCCCCCAAGCGGTGTTCTTTTTTATACAAAGCCAGCTTATTGCCCCCACAATCCGGGTCCTCATTTTACCTACCTCAAAAGGATGGAAGGCTGAGTCAACTTTGAGCCTGGTGAGATTTGAACTTGCAGTAATTGCAGGCAGCTGGTGCTACTTAACAGTGCTTTAGTCTGCTGCGCCACCAAGGCTCTTATATAAAGTTACCATATGAGGCTGTTTTCAGTCTAGTGAGCAGACATTAAAAACAGAAATACAGTGGAGAGGAATGGATACCAGGCCCACTAGAGATGAGTAATGATGGCATGGACAAAATGAAGAAATCAAAGTCCCCTGGGTTTTACCCCTTTTGGGCTTTGTAGGTGTTGGCAGGGAAAGAAACAGAGAGACTAAGAAACAGCAGAGGTTGGAGGCTGTAGATGGAACATTTTGGGTGGGTCTCCAGCCAAAGATTGACTGCAGCAAACTGCTGGCCACTGTTCACATACAACTGTGAGCTTGTTGAGGCTTCCCTACCAAAGCAGGCTACAAAAGCCCAGCTGATTGAGTTGTTTATAGAAGTGAGACAGGCTCAATAAAGGGAGAAAATCCAAGGATTGGCTTGGGACACAGAGGAGAGATTATATGCAAGAATGTCTGGGTTTTTTCCATTGTTGAGAGATGTCACTGAGGCCACCTTGTATACTATTAGTGAGACTGATAGCCAAGGTTGTTTTGCACAGGTACATTTCAAAGGACCCTTTGAACAGGAAGATATTTCATTTGGGGTATGTTTGTGAATCTGAGGGCATAATTCTGGGCTGCCTGGGAGGGAAAGGAGCTATGTAACTTCTAAAACTCTCAGAAGTCAAGTCTCCCCACCCCCACCCCCACCCCCAGAGGCAGAGATGAAAAACCCATAGCTTGGATACCATCTCTATCAATTACCTCCATGTGTAGCTAAACTAACCTGAGCTACTTGCTTGCTCTAAGCCTCATCTTTGTGACATCGGCCTATGTCTTCTTCTTCTTCTCTTTTTGAAACCATTAATTCTTATGGTCTATTTATTGTTTTTCTGCCAGCTTTTGGTTTGCAGTCTGTGGTGTACTTCATTCCTGTCTCCCAGTCTGGAATATACTTTACTTGAACTGAGTTTCTGGCTTGCTGTGCTTTTAAACTCATTAGTGATGGTTCTTTGAGCTCCAATTCTCTGATATCACAGTTTCCAGGTCCTCCCTTTGTACTTTGTACTTAATCCTCATAAGGTCCAATTCAGCATCCAGCTGGTTGGTTTTCTTTCAAGCATCTCACATGGTTTATTGTGTTGAATTTCAGTGAGTGGGTCTTTGCGCTATTCTACCTACAAGATTGCTCAGGTGAAAGCTGCAAGGTACCCAGATACCTTGTAAAGGTTGA